ACACAAACACATTTACTCTGATCCAGGAGCTGTGACACTCAGTTCATCCTTTTTCCTTTTGAGGTCTTTTTCCTTGGGGTTGAGGTGTCAGGACTGCCCGTGCAGGGGCTGCATCCCTCCTGCAGTGTGCTGCTGGGCTGGGGAGGTGCAGCCCTGGCTGCCCTGAGCCTTCACTTACAACCAGGAGAAATGTAAAGGATCTAAATTAGATTCTAGGGTTAAAAAGCCCTAAGGCTACTTGTTAATTTATGAGGGTAAATTGTTGGTAAGATTATGTGAGCATGTGGGAACAGCTCTTGGGGTCATTAAAAACAAATCCAGATTTATCAGCTGCTCAGATGTCAGTAAGCTTCCCTTACAAGCATGGACATCGTATCCTGTGAGGGAGTTAGAACGGGCAGGAAAGGTATCTGCCTTTGCTAATGCAATATTAAAGAGAAATCCTCTCTACTTAATCCTCTTATTAGGTATTGCATTACGTTGGCTGTTGGCATGCTTGCTGTCAGTAGGTAAAAGCAAGTCCTGCAGTGATCAGGTTCTTTCTGAGAGCACTGTAAGTGTTTTGTATAGCGAGAGATGGCACATTGATCCATTGGCATTGACGTTATATGAGAGATGATACCCATATGGACCCAAATCTTGTGAGGGATGGGGGACAAATACCTAAAAGTCTGACTGTCCTGCCTTGTGGAGGATGGGTGAGGTCAGTGGTTCCACTCTCTGGAAATGGGGCTGTTAAGTATTGGCCTGGTGACACAACATGTGAAAGAGCTTTGTGGAATCAGAAGGAATCAAAGTCCCTTCGCGAGGGTGGATGCTTTCTCTGTGCTTTTCTTGTGTGCAGTAATTCTGCAGGTTTTAGAGGCAGGGAGGCATTTGGGGTCTGAGCTCTGTCAGCAGCTGATGCTCTGCAGTGATATGGCAGCTTATGGTGGTGCTGAGCTCCTCTACAGATGGGGCATTAATTGGCGGTTGAATGATCAGCAAACAGAGACTGAGAGAGCTCCGCAGTGCCCTGAGCAGCCAGACTGACAGCTGCCCAGCTCCTGGACACAGCCAGCCCAAGGAAACAGCATTGGCAAGAAAAATACCATCCTTGCAGGCAAGTAACCAGAAAGCAAACTTTCTGAAAGCTAAGATCTGACTCTGTGCTGTACTCATGTTGATTTGTTCTCTCTGCGAGACGAATGAAGTGCAGAGCTCAGCTGCCTTCAAGCAAGCTGAGATCATAGAATCATCAAGGTTGGAAAAGACCTCCAAGGTCATCAAGTCCAAATGATACTGAGCGGCGTGAGCAAACAGCAGTGAGGTTCTGTGTCAGTGTGCACTTGGCTGTGGGAAGTTCTAATTGCCAAAAGAATTAGCAGATCATTGGATTTGCAATTGATCTGTGTCCACATGAACCAGCTGAGCAAAACATGGGTTCATCATACAGAAAAAGGCTTAAAATACAGGCAGGCCATGGTAGGTTGTAAACCTTACATGTGTGATGCTGTACATGGGGTCAAAAAATATCATGTCTTTAACACACCAAGGAGAGCCAGGTGACTCTTCTGGAAAGCTAGGGCTTCTGGGTCCCCAGAAGTTTCCTAAAATACAAACAATCTCTCTTTTCCCATGCTTTCCCTTCTGATTATCCCTTCTTTCCTTCACTCCTTGCAGCACTGATTACAATTCCTATATGGCAGATGTCCCACTAGCAATGCAGGTGAGATACGCACAGCTCAAATCTGACGTTTGGCTGAATCTAATGGTGCTGTTATCTGCAAAGGTCTTACATCTGTGGCGCTTGGTGTGTTGGGGGAGATCTGAGGCAGCACTTAGATCTCGCCATCCTCGGACACCAGTGGCACGATGCTCCCCAGCCAGCTTGTGAATTAATTTCCTAATCTCATTTTTACACTACTTGGGCTATTTTGTTCCGATAACAGGTAACAGTACAATTTGTTCACTAATTAAGGCTGCCTTTTCCAAAATGGCATCTATGACATTTTGCTAGGCTGGCATCTGGCAGTGTACAAAATTCCCTGTGAAGTTTAACCTTTCATTAAAGCTAACCTTCTTTATCTGCTTCAGTACATGGCTGGGTTCTTAAGTGCATCTTGCAGACAAATGTAACACGGTCAGCTTTGGCATGAACAGGGGCCCTTGCAGCAGTAGAACTGTGCTAACTTACTCCTGTTGTCAGCCAAAACCCTCCCTAAGAAGAAAGATGTTTCCATCAGACACTATACAAATTCATAGTCAAAATCAGCAGGTTATAGAGAGATGCCGGCATAAAATCACACCCAGAGGCGGCTCAGGACCTCAGTTCCATCCTTGGGAGATTCTACAAGCGTGCTGGAAGAAGCAGTGAGGGGCTTCCAGTGCTCACAGCTTGCTGTGCAGCTGGGCTCTGGAACTGAGCTGAGGAATCAGGGCAGTTGGATTCCCTTTCTCAGCTCAGTTGTGCTGCTTTGCCTCTGTTTTTCCCTTTAAGGCAAGGTTTGATGTTTTTTAAATGCTTTGAGATTTGCAAACAAGCTTTGAGAGCCAAGTATTCCAGTGAAAGGAAGGTGTTTTCAAGGAATCGCAGGTTAAAGACAGTAACACTGGTGGATTTTCTGTTGTGTGTTTTAGCAGGTAGCAACAAGTGATGGCGCTGCTCGTGCTGTCAACTGAACTCCCAAACGTAACAGAGCTGGTGAATCCCTCTAACATGCTAAAGCTCTAACAAAAGCTTAAAAATACATTATTCATGGATACCGGAGTCATATAACTGCAGAAGTGATAATGATGAGAAAATAATGAATAACTTTGCATCTGAACCTGTAAGAACTGGGGAAGGGAAGCCTGGTTGGGGTCTGACTGTGTGTCAGAGGCACTGGGCGCCATTTTTTGTCTTGGTCTGGGTACTTTGCTCCAGGTTTCTCAGTCCCTTCACTCTGCAAAGATTTCCATTGAAATAGTACACATTTATTTCCTGCTGGGAGCAGAATCAGAAGTTCGCAAAGTAAACATGTTTTATGTGCTCAGACTTGAAAAACTGCATGAAGGTCATCAGTGATGGCTCTAAAGCTCCTTTGTCATGGAAACGGGCAGCAAAAGCATATAGAACTTGTCAGAAACTTGTTTGTACTTCAGTGAGAATTGTATCATTTTGTTTCATTTTTAATCACAGTGAGTTTCTACAGCTTGCTTTAAAGCACAGCCGGCTCGCCCTTGAGTAAGCCTGAAGTTAGGCTGCGGTCATGGCTTTGGGGCAGGCAGATCCATGCAGGGCAAGTGCAGTTTGCACACTGCTGCTGCGTTGCTCTGCCCACACCTGGCAGCAGCCTCCAGCCTGCATCTGGTCCCAATTGCAGATGTTCAGATGTTCAAAGCCCCATGGCAAGGGGCAGTCGTTGCAGTGAGGTGAGTGGTAGAGCAGTCAGATTCCACCTGAGTCACTGGAGGATCTCTTGATCTACAGAATGAATCCTGCTGAGTTTTATTTTTTTCCATTGGGTGTGGGGTGTTTTTTTGTTTGGATGTTGTTTTTTTTTAACATATTTTATGGCTAGAGCAAAATCCTCTTGGCTGCTTTCTCAATTTATTATTAGGCAGGAGGAGATACCTTGTGGTGGCTCAAAAACTAGCAAGTCTGCCTTTCACCTTCATAAGGCCCAAAGGCTGCAGCTGCGGGGCATCTGCAGTTCATTTTTTCACATCGATCCATTAATTTATTGATCAGCAAAGTAGTCACTACTCCCTGTTATCTCAGAACTGTGGGGATAGCAACGAGGCAAGCATTTATATTCACATACACACACTGCGTATATTCACATACACATGAGACCTCAGGGTCTGGCACTGAGTGTTGTGCACCAGGAAAGGGGACAGAATCTGGCAGCTCAGGGTGCATGGTTATAGTTGTGTGGTTTGTGTTTATGAAAGCTTCTGGAAGTCGTGGAGCGATGCTGTGAGCAATGCCAACCTCCAGCAGCTGGGCTGGGAAGCCCTGGGAAAGCCCCACCACGCCGTGCTGTAGTGGGAGCTGGGTGTTACGGGTTGCACAGTGCTGTTGTCAGCTAAGGCTAAAACCCTATTCAGATTGTTGAGCTTTGGTCAAGTAACTTTTCTCTGGAGTGAATAGGCTCTTGGTGAAGGATAGAACAAGCTTTCATTAAGACTTTCTTGGCCTACTGACAGTAAATGTGAACTTGTTTTGCTTGCTGAAGTAAATATTGCATCTGCTGTGTACACTGGCTCATACAGCACATAATAGGAGCCCTTATTCTGCAGCTCCCAAGTATGGGCAGAGTTTTGTTGTCGCTCTGGACTTCTGCTGGAGTGACAAGTTAGCCAAGCAAAGCCTCACAGCCTGACAGAAAACAAAAGGGCATCGTCACAGCTGCTTAATAAACACACTGTGCCCAAGGGCACTGGTGGCAGCATGGCCCAAATTCCAGCAAAATGGATAAATGCTCATTTAACTCCATTCATCAGCAGAAAATTGCTCAAGCAATTGCTTTCTTGACTTGGGGAAGAGAGCAGCAGCTTATTTCAATGTGAGGACACTATAAAAGTAGAGGTAGTGTAGATCATTTGCATCTGCAGATGACTTTGGCTCATTCCACACTGTAGGTAGATAGATGAGTCTGTGTCCTCTGCCTCTCCAGCAGCATTAAAGCTGTCGTATACATTCCGTAACAAGTAATGCTGCTTCCATTAGAATAAATGAAGTATATATTGTGCAAGACAGAGCCCTTTGTGTTCCCCTGTTAAGCTTGAGTTTAATATTTGTACGTCCACCTCCATAGTCACAGCCTCAGCCTTCTGCCACAGGGTAATGAAGGAGCCACAGGATGAGGGAGGACTCTCCTCCTATTTGAACACACAGTACTGACTGGTTCCTACACCACAGCTTGGGCAGAGGACAGCTGGTCGTCGTCTTTCACTTGATAGAAAGGTTAAGAGATGCTGAAGTATGAACACATCACTTCACACTTGTGAAAAATCAGTGACCGTATTCCAGCTCATTGACTGCAGTCAAGTTTTATTATGCCTCAAATAATTAAATACTGCAACAGTGACATTAAAAATACAGGCCAATTTACCAAAATAATTGTATTCTGAGGATTATGTACATATCATACATTTTACAGTATCATGTAAACTTTTTTTATACATAAGGTAATTCTGATTTATGGTAATTAAAAACCCGAAGTACTTGCTGACAAAAATATTCCTATGAAACATAAGCACTGTGTCTGAGACATTCAGGAAAATTACCGAGAGTGGAAACCAACTATAAAACAGAATGTAATTGAGTTAGTAGAAAAATGAATTAAATTACATTCATATCAAAAGTTAAACTAAAACCATTGCTATGCATCGTTATTTAAAAAGGGAAAAATCCCAAACCCTCTCCTTTTATATATTAACACACACTTCCTAAGGGGAGCTACTGCGTGCCTCATTTCCAGCAATGGGGCATGGCCTAGGAAATCCAGATTCCCACTCTCCTTACAACATATATTAAATAACCAGGGTCTGTACCAATACAAACACTGTATATATTCATGCACTGTGATTATGTTCATCGTAGCTTACACCAAGGCACAATTTTTGCATCATTCCCCACCCCTTTTCCATTGCACCCAGGCATGCAGTGCTAGAGATGCTTGCTGTTCAAAAAGCTTCTGTGGGATTTGTCACTCATTTGATTTTTCACACTAGAGGACACAGAAATCTTTCCAGCTTAAACTTAAAAATAAATTAGTTCAGCATCTGGCATCAAATCACACCAACTCATTTTAAATGCCTTAACCCTCTCTCCAGTCTCCAGAAAGCATGTCACGAAGATGATCTAATTACAGCTGGTAGGTCACATTTTTAATATATTAGCTAGGATGACAAAATTGCTCCTTCTGTAAATCTTAATTCATGTGACAGCTGTAGTGTTTTGATTTCTCATGAAGGATCATCAAGTCTAAATAGGTTCCCAGCTCGCATCCCAGCATAGCACCGTTTACGTTATCTGCTATGTAGTGCATGTAATTGAAGTACCTAGGTAATAAGGTAATATTTATTAAAACAAATGCATAATTTAGCTGTATATAAACAGCTGCCAAAATGAACAGCTGTTCACCTGGCTGTATTTTGAAGGCTTGTAAAACTTGCATATTTTATAACTGTCCTGCATCTGTAAGAGGCTTGGTCCCATAAACAGCTGGGCATGTGCTCATCTTCAAGGATTTGAAGAATCTCATGAGATCATAATGAATGAAACTACCTGTGGGCCTTCAGGAGCACTGCAGGCTGTGCCTCAGACAGGTAGCTGGCCAGCCATTAGTCATGTGAGTGGTGTCAAGGGAGACAGAGCTGGACTGACTAATGCTGACTGGGCTTAGGCACTAGAAGTATTTCTTCAGATGTTCAGTGTAACTGAAATTAGACCAAGTGTCTGTCAGGCTTGGATGAAGTGGAAGCGTATTACAGATTGGCCTCTTAAAACATGCCCTGAAGGATGAAAAATGAAACCTGCATGATGGCTACTTATGTACATCTTTAATAGAAAAGAAATCCTAATCTAGAGTATCAAAATACTGTATTCATATAAACATATGAGAGCATCTAATAGAAAAGTAAAAAGAGTAAAACACAAACTTGTTTTGGGACTTAAATATCCCAAAAAAGTTTTTCTTAAAATCAGGAATGTGTCTGCTACCAAAAAGTGAGGACTACATCTCCCCTCGTCTCCGTGTTTTTGCTGCAGCAGCTCCACGTTCCTCTTCCTCCTCTTCTTCCTCTTCATAATTTTCTTCATGAACTTCCTTCTGATGGTTGTTCTCATCTTGCATTTCTTGCTCTTGATCCGTTTCCCCGTTATTCTTTTCATCTCCCTGATTTATTAAAAGAAAAATAATCAGATTCCGTGAAAGTGGCAGTTTCCTCATTCTAGGACAATGAGAGGTTAAGGAAAAGAAAAAAGGAAGCAGCTGGAGTTGTTGTTGCTGTTCTTCAGGCATAGGAAAAGCTTTCCAAAGGTGTCCAAGCACCAACCGTGGACATGGAAGTGGAAGGGTGAGCAAAAGTAAGTTCAGGTAAAGTGTGAAAATTCAAGGTCTATCATCTGAGGAAAGTTCCAAGCATGATAATGCAATGTCACTGTGACACAATCACAGCTGTGCCAAGTGTTTAATCCTCTCATGTCACCCACTGAGTTTATGGGTTTACACAGCACTTACATTTTCATCATTTTCACCATATGGCTCTTCAGCATTGCGTTCCAGTTCTCGTTTCTTCTCCTCAGTCAAATCTTCCTGAATCTGAAGAGCACAGAGCTGTTCAGTACGTTTTAGTCATCTTTTTTTTTCTTTTTTAAAGTAGCCTGTGGCATAAATGTGCTCATCTTCACAGAAGAAAGATTTTTAAAAAGAAAGGGCATGGAGAGGTTAAAGGAAAGAAAGCACAAATCAGGAAACTGCTCACAACTGCTCTTGGAAAACTTCAGAAGAGTAAACAGGGATAGGCAGTGAAGAACAATCTCTTTCAACCCTGTCCTCTCTTTTCTGTCAGCACTTTCCCTCACTTCCATGTCCTTTCATATTTAGGTGCAAATTACAAAGAAGTAAACTGGATTTTCTGTTGAAGAACTGTAAGCTTTTGTGCACATACTCTTCAAATGGTGACCTACAAGTTGGGTATGATGCTTCCCTAAGGCCTTTCAGCTCCCCCAGTGGAAAACAGCCACTTCACATAGCTGGAAAGTATTTGCTACTCACTGCTGCCTCCTACCCCTGCCACAAACATCAACGTGAGTGCTACTTCCAGCAGGGCTCCCTTTCACATTCTCCTGAACAGCAGCAGCAACAGCCAAATTATTTAGCTTTTCTCTCCCTCTCTCTGTCAGCCTTCATTGTAGCAGGACAGTGTGCTCAGCAGTTTCTCAGAGCAGGAGGTGAAAGCTGCTCGTGAACGTCTTGTTTGGGGTTAGCTATTGCTGCTAGCAGATGAGAAGCCATCAAACCTGGATCACTGAGGGATATTTTAAACAGATTTGAACAGCAGCAGCATATAATATTTCAGTCAACCTCATACAGAAACTATTCCTAGTTACAGCATCTTACCTCATTCTTGATTACCCATTCAGCTGCTGCTTACAATTAATGCTTCCAGTAGGCACGCTGGTTCTAGTCCTTTATGAAACATGCATCAAATTATTTCCTGTAGCCAAAGTAATTGCCAAATGCCAGCCATTCCCAGATCCTAATGACTGGTTTGATTTAAGTACTGTATTTTGAACTGTTGATTCTAAGTGCATCCCAGCTAATCCCCATTAGTGAATAATGAATAGCCGTTTTGTAAATCATTATGTATGAAGTAGAAAATAGCAATTGATTAGGTAAGTACTGAAGAACTGCAGAGCACATTACAGGGTAGTGCATGTTAATGGGCATGCCATTCAACACATGAAGGGAAAGTTCCCTTCCCTTCCTTTCATTTCTCCAGCTCAAAGCAATGTGCAAACAGCTTCCCACCTATTTGACTCCACCAGCAGAGCAGTAGGGGCTAACTTGCAATCCTTAGGAGGAGCACAGATAAATCAAAGTCAGTCTTAAACAGTAAATAATTGAGCAGGAAAGCAGTTTGCCCAGAACAGCAATGTGTGATTAGAGGTGCAGAGTTAATGAGGTTTGCAGTGACCTTCAAAGGGCTCGAGATTTGCAGGATTTTATCCTTGCATTGCCAATGGCCTAATCTTTTCAATTATTTCACAATTAATATTGTGTTACATGGAAGGCTAACAAATCACAGCACATAAGCAGCAATGACACTAACTGTGTCTGTGTCCACCAGTGCACAGCAGAGTAATAGCAAACACTAGCAAGGTTTCATAAAGTCAGAAACTACCGTTGGCAACGTGCTTTGGGTTCATTTTGCAGTTATAAAAGATACCAGCCTTGACAGTTAATGAACGTTTGCTATGCTATCTGATCCACATATGCCTTACATCTGTTTTCTTACCTCTTCCTCGCCCTCTTCCTGATACTGCTCATCCACATTATCTTCCTGCTGGTCAGGATTTCCTGCCATCTGCAGAAAGATCATGTGAAAATTCAGTTTTTGTGTACGTAGCCATTAATTTTAGAAGACAAAGGGTTAAAGATTCTTGTTCTAAAAGTGAAAACTTCACAGAAAGGCGTAGAAAAAAATAATAAGTTACAGAGCATTCATTAGCATTAATGATAGCCTGGCTATAAGATTTAGATTTGCCCTAAATTAAAAGATAGACAGCAGAATGATTATAATAAAAATCATTTCATAAAATTAAGCAATACTTCCCATGCTAATCAGGAATGAAATAGTCCCACCAATAAAGACCAGTGCCATAAAAATACAGCTTATCTGTGCCTAGAGGAGCTTACAGTTAGAACACAACTGGAAGGTGCAGCATTCAGTGGAATGGCCACAGAGGTAAAGGGATGCCAATGCTTACAGGTGATTGAGTGCTGATGGCATGGAGACAGCACAGCAAGGACAAACAAAACAAAAACACTTTGGAGACTGGATGAACAGGGGCTCTAGCAGTGCTTTGTGTGAAGGTCATTACAGAGGCCCCTCAGAATAAGATTACAGAACCTTGTTGGGCAAAGCTAGTCATGAAAGACATACTGGTGTATCACCAGGAGTAATTTCATACTTTCACCTACGTATGGTTTAAAATGGATCTTTACATTTGGAGCTGTGTTCTCTCATCAAGCAGTGCTGTGCTGCTCTTACAGAGGACCCACAGGTGCTTTCTTTCCCTTTACTGACCACTAGGTGTTCTTCCACTCCAGGATGCCCTTGTTTCTCACTGTTCTGCTTGTGCTTCTCATTTTCATCTGGTAAATTTTCTTCTCTCTCTTGTTCAGCCTCCTCAAATTCATCTTCTCCCTGGTTGTTAGGGTCATCAGCAGGGTTCACATCTTCCATGGCTGCCTTCTGTATTTTTCAGATATGAATGTTAAATACATATTCATTTAATTTCACAGCCAAATGCCATTTTACTTGAAAGCTACCTTAGCATGAGGTATGTTAGAGCCACATAGGCTGCTGGACTCTGTTTACTGAATATCTGAAAACTGACACAAAAAAAAAAACCCTAAAAATTTAATGTACACAGCTTAAAAGAGATGAGATCTTCTGATACCAGTCTGTTTTACAATACTGACCTCATCTGTGTTTATATGAATGAGAAGGAAAAAAACCCACAACGTATTTAGTCTTCACACTTTGCCATTCAAAAATGAGCATTTTCTTTCTGCTTTTCATTGCAGAAGTCTTTCCAGTATCTTTATAGCCAACAATATGAAGGTCCTCTAAAAATATTTACTATACCACTAAATTTGCTTATGGGGTGGGAAGGAAGGATGACAAGTTTTATTTTCCACAACACTATAAAAAAATTGAACTTGGGGAAGACATGATACTGATTCTCCTGCATCTAGCTCTCTGAGCAATGCATGCAGTGAGTGCTTTCAGTGCTGAAGTTCTGTTCTCCTTTCAAGAACTCACGCTTTGTGGTACCGACAAGATTTTGATCTAGTGACCACTGATTCCTGTGGAAAGGCTCCAGCTGGTTTCAGTGGTGATTAAGTTGGCTCTCATTCTCTCATCTAATCAAAATGTCACCAAATCCTTTATTCTACCTCATGCAGAGATCAGAAGAATTTACAAAAGCAACTGCCTTCCAACTGGAAAGCTCTCTTTCACTTCTTCCCAAATTAGAAGCAGCAACTTTAAATAGATCTCGGATGTAGTTTCAAACTGTCAGACTCGTCTTCCCAGCAGAACTCTGCTTCACCTTATTTCTGTAATGTGTAATTATGTTAGATGAGACTTCTGGGTTTTCATTTCAGTAGCAATTGCAATCCATAGCATCTTAATTCATACTCACTGGTTCATCAGCCTGATTTTCTCCTTGATGTTCTGGTTCGTGCTGCTCATTTGCATTGTTTTGATCCTCATCTTCACCTTCATCCCGGTGCTGGTTATCATGTTCATAAGCTGACAAATTTTTGATATTATTGTATGACTGCAGTTTCTAGGTAGCCCTTTTAAAGAGAGTTGTCATATAGCACCTTCCATGGGTGCTTTTAGCAGTAGGCAGTTTCTTCCTAAAAAGCTCACCAAACAGGTAATGCCAACAGAGCTGTTTTACTTGTAGAAGGAAACTAACACTAAAAGATCATTAAATTTCAAGGCAGCAAAGAAAATCATAGGCAAAGCCATATATGCAACAGAGACTTAAAGGCCTGTCTAAGGAGCTTAAGCAAAAGGACACCTTTCCTTTCAGAAATATGGATATGATCTTTAGTAAAACCTGTGTTTCAATCAGTTCCAACAGTGTTACTTGAGCTTGGGGCTTTAAACTGCTTATTTTTTCTTTGTTTATATTTCATCTGAATCTGAGCTGAATGTGAAATAATATCAAAACCTTGCATGAAAGGCAGTTCAGAAGGAACCTTACCTCCTTCTTCTTCCTGAATGCCTTGCTCTTCTTCCCCTTGCACAATATCATGGTCCATGTTATCATAACGAGCCTGCTGACTGAGAAAAGTAAATGCAAATTCATTATTTCAGCTTCAGAAAGCATTTTAGCTTCAAGAAACAAACAACCATACCTCATCTCTGCCTCTTCCAACTCCTGCCAGAATGTTTTCCAGTCTAGCTTTATATTAGCTGTTACTTTTTAGCATCACCTTTCCTGAAAGACAATGCTCTTTATAGAATGAGCACTCCCTATGCTAACTCCTGGGTACTTTCATTCCTACAGATTTCAGAGGCTTCCATGGTGAAAGGGGAAAAAACAAAACAAAAAACCAAGCAGCTCCCACTCTTAAAAACAGCAATCAGATTTATCCACAGAAAGGAAGAGTCGAGGCTAACTTGATTTAATTTCAGTACTGGATTTGCCTCTTTTCAGTGGTGCTGTGGTGGATGCCATAATACCCAGAGCACAGACCATGCAATGCACAGTCCATTACAAACATACAGAAAAGAATTTAACCTCAGTCGGCTCTTATAGAATTTTTCTCCTTGCTCTGCCTCTCTCTGTAGCTGAAGCTCCTTTTCTTGAAGCTGTTGCTGCCTTAACAGCTGTGTTTGCAGCCTTTGCTGGTGCAGCGATTCCTGGTGTTCCCTGAGCTGATTGGCTTCCTCTGCTCTTTGGGCTGCAAGCTGTTGCTGCTCCAGTTGCTGTTCGTAGGCTGGTTTGTATCTTTTTGTGACAGCTTTTGTCGGTGTTACCTGCCAAAGAAACGTTTTAGTCATAGGTTAAAATCCTATATTCAGTGATCAAAAGCAAGCACAAAACTTCTGACATCAAAAGTAAGTGGGAAAATTAGGCAGATTCTGTACGCAACGGAGAAAAGTTTAACAAAGTTATTTCATTACCTCTTGTCTTTGTTTAAATTTAAATCAGTTTTTTGAACAGATTTTGAGAGTTTTGGGGGTGTTTGTGGAGAACGTGGCAAAGAAGATAAAAACTGCAGGAAGCCACGCTTTTCCTACTCATAAATATAAAAGAAATCAGTAAAACGTGTATTCCTCTAGAGATCTGATCTAGAACATAAATCCAGCACTCAGTGGTTTTACTTAGAGCTGCACAGAGCAAGACCTGCCACTGCTCCACACTGATTTCCCCCATTTTTTGGTCTTGTTCACTTTGCAGTTTAAATTGCCTACTAAATGGCAGTGAACACTGGGATGGAAATGTGCTTATAGAGGGAAATTGTATCTGAAAAGGAAAGTCTGCAATTTGCTGAGATTCACCAAATTAGTATGGCAGGACACCTCCTCATCAAAGTGCTGATCACGATTCCCTTCCAGCTCAGGCTGTTCTACAATTCATGCTCATAAGCATGATCTACTTTCCATTATCTGCCACAGGCTTCAAATTTAAAATAGAACATTGGATTCAAAATGATTGCTCTTTTCTTCCACCTGTTGCTCTTTATCAGCAGAATTGATGTTAATTAAGCTGCATTTGGCAAGCACAGCAGTGAGTGTGTGCTGATCCTGTGCGTGCAAGTGCTTTGAATCCCAAATTTTCTATAAATGCTACACCAACTTTACCTGAGAACAGGCAAGTGAAGTACCAGGACCAGCGATGGCAAGCGATGCCTCCAATTAAACAGTGAATTAATTGACCAGTAGGTAAGAAAAGCGCTCCATACCTCTGATGGAAGACGTTCACCCAATATGTTGGTTTCTTCTTCTTTCTGCTCCTGTTTCTTCCACTCATGCTCTTCTGGCACTTGGTCCTGTTCCTCTTCTAAGTGCTGAGGCTGACCTGCCTGCTCCATTTCTTCCTCTTCAAGTTCCTTTTTGCGTTCTTCTTCAGCCTGATCAACATGTTGCTCATCATCCTCTCCAGCTTCTTGTTGCTCCTGAATATTCAGTTCTTTGGCATGCTGGCCCTCGTTAGCCCTTCTTTGTAGATGAAAAGACTCAGCTCTGTCATCTCTCTCCTGGCTATTTACTTCTTCTCTCTCTTTTGGCTTCTCACTCTGAAAAACATGTAACATTATACGAGTGCAAGATATTATAGATTTCATATTTTCAGGAGAGCTAAGCACCAGATACAGACACCTTTATTTCCACCTGCATAGTGAAACTGTAGTCAGGAGAGCCAACTGGCTGCCTTAACACATGCTACCCTTCCTGCCAGAAGGTATCAATACCTGATTCTTGGCTCTGCATACCTAAACAAGTTGTTACACAATACAACAGCATCATCAAGTAGCCCTATATGTATGTTTCCAATGGAAGTTAAGCACGTAGCTAGTATTTTTACTAAATGGAAACTATTTCCTACGGCTTGTGCAGCAAGTCAGTGTTTTATACCTCTTTATGCCCTCCAGCCACAGCTTTGTGGTGTTTTGGGAGCTCACTGTGGGGAGATGGCGGCCGCACCTCCGCCTGTTCGTTTGCTTCCAACTTCTCAGACTGGCGGAAACTCGGTATTTTGTTCAGCGTGTCCTTCAGCTGTTTGTATTCCTCTACCTGGGACTGAAGTCAACACATTAATTATGCCACGTCCAAATCAACTTCTTAATAAAACATAGTGAAAAACACCAGAGTCAGCTTGCTGGCAAGATATACGCAAGAAAGACTCAATATTCACATCACAGCAACTACTAGGAGTAGCAGGGATGAGAGCTTTTAAGAATGGTCGCTTCCATGCGCCTAACAGCACTGATTCATCATCATCTTTTCAGCCAAAGTGCACGTGCATGCGAAGAATGTTGGAAAAATCCCCATAGGACAAAGATGAAGATTTGTTTTTTTCATGCCAAGCAGGAGAATTGTCAGAAGGAGACGATGCAGTTTTCTTGGCAGACTAAAGCGAGGGAAACAGAGCACCCCAGCTTCTTTACTGGTAAAAAGCAGCACAATTCTTTTAGCACGTATACACATCATGAAAATGCCAAATCCTCACCATTTAGACAGGTGTTACAAAAGACAACAGACAAGATACAGAACGGAGGCAACAAAAGTCACAGAACACCCTTGGCAAAGAGAGTAAGGAAAAAGAAAAAAAAGACCAAATGTAAATTTCTTAAGTCTTTCTAAAATGTAACAGTAGGATGTATTCTGATTTGCAGTTTAACTCCGTATAGGATCAGAATATTTTCCTCTAGCCTTGAAATCCAGCATGAGAAGCAAGACTGGTTGCTGCCTATACAATAGGCATAGAAGAAAGCTTGTCACACAGTAAAACTTATTGAGAAATGCAAGATTTATAAAAGCTGACCAACTGCTTATGAGAGGCAGCGCCCCACAGCAGGGCACCTCTGTTGCTCCATGGAGATGGAGGAAGCATTTACTACTCTGAAATCTGAAGTGCATTTCACAAGTCATTTAAAAACTCAGCTTACAATCTGGCTCCTGTGTGTGTGGTTCAGTGCGTTAAGTGGTATCATAGCAATCAATAGTACAGCAGACAGGCACGATGCATCGATGAACAATGCATACTACAGAACAATATCCACAGTGCTACAGATTGACATGATGCATTGCATTACAGCTCCGAAGCGAGGCGCACCTCGAAGCATCCTCAACAGACTAAGGCAGCCGTTAAAACAGACGGGTCTAAAAGCAAAGCAGAACGCACAGTAATTACTTTCACCATTCCAGAGGGATACTTCTCTTTCCTGATTAACTGTTGGAGAATCCAATATGAAATTTTAGAGGAAAACATAGTATTTACTCAACAAAAGACAGATACGTAGGTCTTTGAGTTTTATTTCTCCCCCTATTTACTGACCACGCAGAGAGACCAACGCACTGGGATATTGAAACTATGCATGTCTAGATCAGACTTCAAGTGCTCCATCTCACCATACAAATCATTCTAAGCTGAACATTGTGATTCAAGGCCACAGCCTAAAAGGTATTAAGGCTGGCAGAAAGGCAGGATTTATAAAAATGTATAAAGAGTCTGTCTGGCTGTTTGAGCTATGGAAAAGGACACAGATTACAATGCCTTGAAGATTCAGGTCACAAATACATTAGTGCTGCATTGACTACTGATGCTTAATGTCTAGAATACACCTAGAAGCAGCAGGGTAATTTACAGAGCCGCATTTCTAAGCAATAATCCCTTGTGCGCCTTCTGTAGCTGATATGCAGGAGAAACTATGTGAGTGTGCTGAATACCTTCTGTTCTGAAAGGCTACAGGAGATCCTCCACTTGAAGGAGGTTCTCCACAGGATAAATGCCACATTCTGCTTACAGACAGAAAGGCTTTGTGTGACACAAAACTAAATCCAAAAGCAGGAGAAGTAAACGGAGCCTCCCTTTGGCTTTGGTAGACCTTAACTCAGGCTCTGGGTCTGCCCTGGGTGAGTTTCAGTTATCAGAAATACATAGCAGGTAACTAACGAGGACAGTGGGAACAGAGCTTACAGTCAGCTTCCAGCATGCTCAATGTTGGAAATTAAGTATCCTTACACAGTCTAAGAGAGACTTTCCTGGTCTCTCCCTGTCTTTTGAATATCTGCATGCAATGCACAAAACAAAGAGAACCCAAAAACCTCAAGTCCTTTTAATGCAACTCATGATTTTGTGGACCTTGAAAAGCACTCAGATGAAGAAAGTTCAGCCAGGAACAAAAGCAACTTCCCACTGCCTCACGACCTTCCCCCTCATCTTTCACCAGAGCCTTCCTTTCTCCAACATTACTCCCAACTTCCAGCCCTGTGACCTACACAGGTCGTACAGCTGACTGAATTTGCCATAGCCTAGCAAAGTTCAGGCTACACGGGCAGTTCATTTGAAACCAACATCTAAGACAATGCTGCTGATTAAAAAAAAAAAAGGAAACTAATTTGAATTTCAGATGGAGCTTCTATATCTCCATATATATGCCCAATCTGTCTTGCACTGATGTATATAGCCTTACTCGTACAGGAAAAGAAACTTGATTAGACATCAGCATCCAGGTCTTTAAAAGTGATGCATGTGAAAGTCAGAGAGAGATGTTAAACTACTAAAAGTTCTATCAGAGAAGACAGAAAGAAAGGAATTCTCCAGCTCCCAGAAGCGCAGAGATTCTCACCAATAACACATGCACTCTGGGGCCTACAAATACAGCTTTGTATCTCCTCAGAGGCCTGTAAGTTGCTGCAGCTTCTTTAAAGCAACCCTTAAACTCATGCATTTCTCTGCAGTGTGCAGCACTGTGCTAATTACAAATTCCCCATGCGAAAGGCTACATGCATAACGTTACAGTCAGCTGAACTAGGAGAAACTAGCTGGAAGGAAGGTTAGAGCTAATACAAGCTGCTTTCCTTTCTGACCTGTGCAGCAGCTAGTGCACTCTTGTGGTCTTCCAATGTCACTACAAGCTGGTTGTGCTGGGACAGTAAGTTCTTATGCTGTTGCTACACACACAAAAAAACAAAAAGAGCATGACATGTTTCACAAAGTTTATTCTAAAGGTAAGTCAGGAAGCTTAGGGGGTTCTGAACTACGGAGATCACTTGATGCAGTTCAAAATGCAGCACTGTCTTTGGCAAATGCACAATCCATTACTTACAGTCAAATTTCCCATTCAAATTTCTGCACTGAACACTTGTCTTCCAATTTAGTCTCTTAAGTATATATAAACATATATTTATTTAAAATGATCATGTTCCTTAAGTGCAGGTGGCAAAAGACAACAAATGCAGTTCAGCCATATTTCTCTCCCTTTTGCCACATTAGAGAAACTACAAGTCTTTGCCCATTTATTGCTATTAAATCTTGGGCTTTTTGTTCTATTTGCTAATTGTTCTGGCACCCCTCCTTCAAAAGAAAACCTACCTTTACATCTTGCAGCTGGGTATGAACATCTTGGTGAGCTTTTCTCAGCTGTCTGTTCTCCTCCCGTAAATTGTACAGGGATTCTATTTAAAAGAAACAACAGAGGTTAAACCCAGTTTAGTATTGTAACACTAAAGCACCACAACAGGAACTAACTACAAATATTCTAATATATTAGGATCTACACAATTCCAATATTAAGCCTGGATTAGCAAAAAGGTAGGATTTGCTTTCCTTACACCTCTCACTTATCCTATAAAGAATCTTACATTTGCAAGCAAAAAAAAAAAAAAAAAGCATAATATTTGGTTAAATTTTATTACAGTGCACCCAGCCTGCAACTGGAACTGTGCATTGTCATTCATTCTAGGGACTGCAGATGGCAAAATTCATTATGGTAATCTGAATCTTTAAAACGCAGAGAGGAAGCCACCCTCCCCTCTTCCCTCTTCCCCCACACTGCATCTGGTGAGTGAGTTTCATTCCAAAGGACTAAGCTATTATTTTGGAAGAGGTGCCCAGATGGCCAGCATATTTAAGAAGCTTTACGTTCTGGGCCCAGGGAGAGGGGCTTCTCTTCCCACTTCTTACATTATGTTGATGTGGAATACTGCAAGCAGACACAAGCAAGCTCTGCCCACAGTCCAAGCTGTTAGGCTGCGGTCCAGCTCAGCCCCAGAGCTTGCTGTGTGACTTCACTGGTGCAGAGCCAAGGCAAAACTAATACACACAGCCTCTGCCTGTGAAATACTGTGCAGACAAACCTGCAGACAGCTCCAAAATGAACTCATGTGTTAGTGACACATGGGAGAGAGTGGCCATGATGGGGAGCCCCTCATCCTTCTGTTTTATGCAACTGTATAATGAGGATTGGAGTGTTCTGCAAACTGCAAGAGATCTTTTCAATAGGAAACTGGGCACTAAGTGATAAAAATGAACACCTCATCTTCTAAGTATGCAGGTGCAACGTTTCAGAGAAGCTGAGAAATACAGAGAAAAGCAGATCTGTGAGAAATGAGGTACGCGAAGGCCCTTCATAAAGGGGCACAATTAGATCTCTGATAGAAGTGACAAAAATCATTAACTTCCTTTTATAAAGAAGAGATTTCAGAAAGAGGCCACAGAAAATCATAAAGAAAATGTAACTGATCGGTCTGACCCAGCTTACACCTCCTAATTAGTGAGAACAGACATTGTGCCTGTCTATCTCACATCACACAAAACACGACCGACACACACTTAAATATGGGCAGCCAATATACCCTTCAGCTTAGAGATCTCCTGCTCTTTTTCCTGCTGCAGTTCTAAGTATCTCTGCTTGTGATCACTGAACGTCCTGCTGAACTCTTCTCCTTGTTTTCGGTGATCTTCCTCAAGGTTAGCGTGCTGCTTCTTTAGTTCTTCATGTTGACTCTGCAAATACCAAGTTGGACACCTGAACAGCTCTGTATTAGCATATCTGGCTAATATTGACTTTGGCAGTTTATTGAATAAGTCTAAATGAATACGAAGCATTCATAACAGGAAGTTTATTACTCCAAGCATGCAGCCTGCGGATCCTCTCAAACACAAAATGATCTCTGTGACGAGCAGCCTCCTTTTCTAGGGCTACGTCACCTCACCCAGCAGTTGCACTGTGCCACAGGGAGCTGCTGAATGTGTCTGAGAAATTCCTTAGATGCCAAACTATGTGAAGTCTGATAAGTCCCTGCTCCATACAGGCAATTGCATTTGAAAAGATTACATTACCCAGTGGAAAGCCTGATTACTAAGAACCACAGTAAATCAGCTTTCAGCAGCACTGCTGTACAAGGAAAGCACCATCAGTGTGCTGACATTCAGGAATGAGTTGACTGAGGCCATACACCCTTTAAGCTGCAGAATACCAGTGTCCTGTGAGACTGGACAGCTCGGTCACCCACCTTCAACATCTGGTGCTGGACACTCAGTGCACTGTATCGGCTGTTTGAATCTTGCTGTAAAACAAACAAGCACACATTAGTACTAACCTGAACAGTACTGTCATTCTCCTAGCCTCAATACATGCAGTTATCCAGGAGTCATAAACCAAAGGACATAACATCATCAAGAAACAAATTAAGCTCTTCACTTGCTTTGAAACATAACAAGTGTGTATGTACGTACAAGCGTGTATATGTAACTATTACTACTTACTGCAGCAACTATGCATTTTTATGTCTTTTACTCAGCTCACAAAGCTCTCCCCACTTTCAGCCTGAAGCCTCCATAAAATACTAGCTCTACAGGTCTCTGGGTCCTGCCAGTGACAGCTTTCCTTCTGCCATTTGGTATCTAAAACACTTTATTGTTTGGGTTTCTTAATGATTTTATTACTAGTATTTATATGTGGTTTCCTGCTCAAAGACCATTTGTTAGAGTGCTGTCACTGTGCTGTCACTGTTCTTTTCCCTGTGGACTGAGCAATTTCTAACACCTGAGAGATTTCTAACACCTCTTTACTCCCCTGTCCCTTTAGAACTAATAATAGTGTTTGAACGACTATAATATAAACAGGAGGATATTTTCTAAAGTAGTTTTCTGGAAAGGTATTATTACAGCTTATTAGTTATATCTCTTACAGCAACTCACATAATTAAGAATGGCAGCGGAGAAACGCAGTGAGAGCTCCTTCAATGAGCACTTGCAAGACCTCTTTCTTTGAACAGCTGTAATTGCAGAGCACTGCCTTTTTCTTGCAGCCCACATAGCATCAAATATTACTGAAATCTCAGAAGCTGGTACTAGGACTGATGACTTACCCTTCCTTTATTTAGGGTTTCCTGTGCTTCTAGTTTATAAACAAGAAAATCTACAACATAAAAGGAAAAACACTCATTAAGAACAAAACCAAAAACTTTGGAATCTGTACTTAAATAACTTTTGTGTAGAAAAACTTTCCTACGAGCAAAATACAGTGCAGTTACAATTTCCAGATCTTCAGAAACAGAGGAACTTAACAAAATGCTCAAGTGCTGAAAAAGTATTTTCATTTAAAAAAAAAAAAAAAATCAGAAATAAAAATATATTTAAAGTATTTGTATGAGGTACAGGGGCAAGAAGTTCAAGGCCACGGGCACAAATCTGTCACACAGCCTCTCTCAGCAGCGTCATTCAAAAGGAAAAGGGCATCACGTGTGATTCTGTGATTTTTCTATCGCAGTAAAGAGGCGTAGTTTAAAAAGTGAGAAAGTCAAGACCAAGCTGAAGTATAGAAATACATTTAAAAAAGGTCCTTTTGCTTCAGTTTGGGATTTCACAGTGACAAATTACCTCTGCACATCACGAGGCAGCTGTCCAGCAGATGGCACCAGGCAGCCATCAGGAGCCCCACCAAACCACGTCATTGTTGGAAATGCTCTCAACCTTTGCTACAGCAGTTATTTAATTCATTGAGTCATCAGTTTTAAGAATAACAGAGACTTACATAGTTTGCCATGCTGTGGTGATCTGTAACAAGTCCTAAAAACACAATCTGCAGATCTGGTCCTACTGCTTTATTAAATCAGTAATTCAAGATTGAACAAAAGTTACTTTTTTCTTAAATACCCAACTTATCACAGAAATAAAGGGAAAAATGATGTTTTACCTTCTTTTGCTTTCTTATGTTCAAGCCTTTCCTTTTGCAGTGATTTTTCTAATCTTGATCTGTGCTCATATACAACTAAGAAGAGAAAATTTGTACACAGTTCAGTTCACAAGTGATAGATGCAAAGAAAAGAAATCCAACCCCTCCCAGAATATTCCACACACAATGTGCCCAGAAGATACAAGTGGAATGAGGTCACAGGGTGAAGGGCTGCTTACAACACTTGACCTTACGTCTCTGCATCTGATATTGAACCCAAAGTTTGGATCATTTCCATTGCATAGCCATAGAAAGCGGTAACTATAATTCATTTGTTTATGGGGAGTCAGCTACAGTTGTTCTACAGGAAAGCTACCCAATCCGTTTTCCTCCTAGGGTACAGACATACACATTTTCTCATTCTTTCCTTCTCTTCTGCCTTGTTTGTAAAGAGATGAGGACATAACCAGGACAGCCCTACCCCAGCACTGCCAACGGAGATCCTGCAGCATACAAATGGCCACGGGAGGGAAGCGAGACGGACGCACAAAGCAGAATGGCTCTGAAAGGTGCAGCAGCACACTAGATTTCTGTTTAACCCTAAGACGTGGAAAACTCAAGATCAATCCCTAAGTTCTTCTGAAAGCTTGGACAACTTCATTTTCTTTTTAATTGTAGAGCCCGGATAACAGTAGGTTTGCACCACGTGGCAGCCACAGAATCACAGAATCACAGAATCACCCGGGTTGGAAGGGACCCCAAGGATCATGTAGTTCCAACCCCCCTGCCTGGCAGGGCCACCAAACATCCACATTCAGATCAGGTTGCCCAGGACCCCGTCCAACCTGGCCTTAAACACGTCCAAGGACGGGGCATCCACAACCTCCCTGGGCAGCCCGTTCCAGGGCCTAACCACTCTCCTAGTAAAGAACTTCCCCCTAACATCCAACCTAAATCTTCCCTCCTTCAACTTAAAACCATTTCCCCTAGTCCTGCTGTTATCAGCCCTTTTGAAGAGTTTACTCCCCTCCTGGGTGTAGGTTCCCTTCAGGTATTGATAGGCTGCAATGAGGTCACCCCGCAGCCTTCTCTTCTCCAGGCTGAACAAGCCCAACTCCCTCAGCCTGTCCTCATAGGGGAGGTGCTCCAGCCCCCTGATCATCTTAGTCGCCCTCCTCTGGACCCTTTCCAAAATCTCAATGTCTTTCTTGTACTGAGGGCTCCACACCTGGACACAGTACTCCAGATGGGGCCTCACAAGAGCCGAGTAGAGAGGGACAATCACCTCCCTGTCCCTGCTGGCCACCCCTCTCCTGATGGAGCCCAGGATCCCATTTGCCTTTCGAGCTGCCAGAGCGCACTGCTGGCTCATGTTCAGTCTCTCGTCCATCAGGACCCCCAGGTCCTTCTCTGCCGAGCTGCTCTCAAGGACCGCTCCTCCCAGCCTGTACAGGTGCCTGGGGTTCTTCCGGCCCAAATGCAAAACCTTGCACTTTGCCGTGTTGAACCTCATCAGGTTCACCCGAGCCCAGCCCTCCAGCCTGTCGAGGTCCCTCTGAATGGCATCCCTTCCTTCCACCGTATCAACCGCACCACTCAGCTTGGTGTCGTCAGCAAACTTGCTGAGGGTGCAACTCTGTGTCACAGCTCAGCACCAACAGACCAACGGTGCCATCCCTTGAGAGCTGACACAAGCAGACCCCTTCCAAGGAGTGCACACATGGAGCACGCAGCATTTCCTTGTCACTGTCCCCAGCGACCTGTGACCCTCAAAGACCACCTGAGGCAACTGTTTGCTTACAACATTCCAAAAGACAGTTTCAGTTTATGATTTTATCTAATTGGTTTACTTAACAAAAATGTATTTCTAATTTGCATTTGTCAAAGGAATTGTACAAATTAAGGGAACCTGTGATTTTTCCTTCAAAACTAGGAAACTCATTTGCTGAGAAGTAGACCATTGGCGAACATAAGCCTTCAACAGGAAGCCTCAAATAGGGATTTTTATCTTGGCAGCCACAGAAAACTCCTCTTGCACCTTAAAAAGCATTCGTAATTCCAGCAAGATGCATTCTGCAGGCTCTTTGTCTCCTGGCTTATCTCAAAGTGTTTACATTTTGGCTTAGGTGACAAGGATTGATTAGCAATCCAGCTTCTATCTCTGCTTCGCTATTCATCATCCAAAGCCAAGGGCATCAGTCAAGATGAACGAATGTATCGACATCCTCTGCAACAAAACAAGCATTTAATGAATATTCACAAAGTGACCAGCAAGTAAGTTTCCAGAAAAGAAGAAAAAAATGGCACCATGACAGTAATGGTTTTATCTGAGCACTGGAGATCGTGAATGCTGAACTGCATTGCGAAAGAAGCAGTGGTTGTAGCATAGCAACTCAGGAGAGAAATGAAAATCCATCATGGTTTCCCCTCCCACGCAATCAGGAGTGGAAATAGGCTTCTTGGCAATTAGACCAAACCACAAATGGATCTGGAGGTAACATTTCTCACTGCACTGCTTTGTCTGCAAGCGGATCTGCTTCAGCTCCTCCCGGTGTTTTAACAAGCGTGGGGAGAAGCCCTGCACAATAAAGCCATAATGATAAGGGCAGGAAGAAAGGAGAAAAGGAATGCCACATCTCAGCTTTTAGGGACCACATACTTTGTACCTTTCACATCCAATTTTGGCTCTGCTAAGCTCTGGCTGCCCTGCCTTCACACGGCACTTCAGAGCAGTGCCATTAACGTCCCTCTGGGTGGCACATCCCTCTGTCACTTCTGTGCTGAAGCCTTTGAAACACTGGAACAAAGCTCACCGTGTCCTAAAATAGCCTTTTAGAGGGCCGAACAGCAAGTGAGGAAAGGGCTGAGGGGAAGTTCCTCTCCTCCATCACCTCCTACTTAATTTGTTGGTTTAAACACGTTCAGCAACACTTTTCTCTCATCCACAGCAAGGTGATCTAACCTCAGAGAGCAAAGCCCAGCAACAGAACCAGCGAAATCACAGCTAACTAAGACATCTTCTATGTTTAATAAGGAAATATTTAACAGTTCTTGAATTAAGACTTAAGACTTCTCCACCACCTTCTTTTCTTCATAAGGGGAAGAAGCTCACGATGTTCTCAGAAGCTTACATCACCACGACCGCTGCTGAACGTTAATTGCAACACAGGAGTGGAGCGCTCTGATGAAAGCAAGGTTATTTAATATTCATGGTTGGTCCCCTCTGCTTTGCAGTCAAACTACTAAGAAGAATACGCTGTTATAGGATACATAACAACTATTTCCAGTTTGCCATTATCGGCAGTTTTTCAGCTATGTCACTTTGGTATTTGGTCTGCCAGAAGTACGACCTGAGAGCATCCAAAGCACCCCAACTCCCATCACCTTCCACACTGAGAAACTGAGAATACACTGGGATTTAAACAAACACCATTCGACAAGTCTTATTAATTGCAATGTTATCATCTCTTCTGTAATTTTGCAGCCTTTCTCTGAGCTTAATGTCACCCTTAGTTTAAAACCAACAGATTCCAGTAGTCTTGGCAACATCCAATGGTATTTCATCTCAGACCGTGGTGGAGCTGAACGGAACCAGCAGAGCGTGCCCTACCACACTGGCACATTCCTAGCAATGCCATGAAGGTCTGTACAACACAGACATTCATTATAAAAATACTGTTACATTTCCAATTCTCATCACTGCAAGCAGAACTATTTAAAACACGAACCCATGCAAATTACTTTTCTGTTCAGAGAAAACCTATTTCAATTAGACGAGTGAGAGCCCCTTCAATCCGTACAGATTTTCTAGTCCAACGACAGTAATTAAAATTTAGATCTTGGATCAGACTTTTTGACGCTCATGTTTCATGCTGGGAGAACACATGATGAATACAGCAAGACTCTTGGAGCCTTGAGTTCTGCATGCCATGAAGGCAGCGAATCTGGCTTCAGACAGCGAGATCTGCCAGCGACCGTCTGCCCAGAAACATCCTCCTACAGCACAGGGAGCTGCTGGATGAGCTGCCTGCCACTGCCCTGCCCTACTGCAAGGGCTGGAGTAGAGCTGCATAGGCTTCCAACATAATAAACAGAAGAGTTGTATTTTGTACCGAAAGCAGACAGCTACAATATACCAAACAAAATATCCAAGCCATTTCATTTCTTATGCCCCTGTATGTTTTCTGTTTTTAATTTATAAACAAAGAGCTGAAATAGAAGCCAAGATAATGCGGAGCTGATCGTGCGTGAAGAACAAGCATTCTTCTGGCTTAATTACCGAACAGTTTTGTACACAGGCAGGGATGGACTGCTCTCATTTTGTTCACTGCAAGCCACAGCTAGTACAGCGTGCAGTATCACATTTATATTCCCTTTTCTCCTACACTCTGCAGCTTTCACACGTAAAGAACAATCAGATAACAGCTTTGTCAAATTACAACCAGTTCCCACAAAGGACCAGAATTTCTCCTGGCAACTAAACCATGTGCTGCTAATTGTACTTAGAAATAACCACTGCCTTGACCTAATTCTCCAGTCATTTGTGTTGTGCGTGGCATTAATGATTCTGAGAAAGCACTTTGTATTTAACAGTGGGATCTCCTGCTTCCAGCTCTGCAAAATCCAACTCAGTCCCTGCTGTGTTGCCAGACAAGAACCATCACTGATGCTCCCTGTGGAACCTGCCCTACGTCGGGGGCTTTTACCAACCTCTGTATGTTGAGTGTGGAAATGGATTAGAAAAGATATCAGAACGAATCGTGATCAAAGTTCAAAAGCACTCTGGAATGTATGCAGGCTTTAGATAAGGACATGAAACTTTTACAGGCTTATCAAACCTTCAGCTTTGCATCCTCAAATGGAAAAGAGGAAAACCTAAAGCACAACGTGCACGAGTGCTGCACATCTTAAAGGTTTTGCTTGCATGCAGTTGTGAAATGGGGCAGTGCTGGGGAATTTGGCACACTAATAAGAGCTCACCCCAGAAAGACACGCTTCTGTTTCTAAGAAATAGTTTTGGCCTCCGTTCAACCATCAGGATGATGTGAAAATCAATTTCCAAACTGAAGTAAACATCTAAATTAACAGAATCCTAT